ATGCTCTCTTTTTAAATCTTGGCGCAGCATCGCCTCTGCTCTTTTTGGTAAATGTTTCTTCTCCGCCGGGATCATCACGCTGTTTAGTGTTCATTACAGTGGCGTGTAACTTGACGCGATCGTATTCACGTTTCATCAAACCGGCAGATACGAACGTATCAACTAACGCGTTAGCCAACAGCTGGAGCCTTAAGTAAAGCAAAAGAAAAAAAAAAAGGGAAAAAACATTAACTGTACAGCCCTGATGGCGGAAGCTCATAAAATCTTATTAAAAAATACCAAATGAACGAAGCAGTTCACTTTTGAGCTCTTTTACTCTGATAAATTTCTAACTTCATTAGACATGCAGAGTGATTCTGGTTTAAAAATAATGAAAATGACACAATTGAATCTTAAAGTGCCTATGAAGTAAAAATATTTTTTTGAATAATTTTGTAGCTTATTATGTCCTTATTAAGGAATGACAAAAGAAATTTCAAGAAAAGAAATTTAAATCGGCTTTTTGGTGGCTCGAAGTCCCTAAATTAGACGTTATCGGTGTCTCCGGAAACTGGGAACGAGTTTGGCTCAGATGACGTATTGTTGGTTCTGGCGCTTTGTTGAAGCTTTTTTTTGTCGTCTTCAGAACCACCAACTACGTCACTTCCTTTGTAAGATGAGATTTGACCGCACGCAAAATGGACCCATTTCAGATTGCAAAATCCAAACTTTGAGTTTCAAAAAATAATATAAGATTGTTCTTTTGGTCGGTCAAAATCGCTTAGCTGTGTTCATCAAGACATAAGCAAACAAACAGGGCAAAAAAAATTTTTACTTCATAGGCACTTTAAGGCAACCGTAATGTTTTTGGTAAGTAAGATATTCAACAATTAACGAGAAAAAATTGAGATTGATATTAGTAGTTAGAATAGGACCAGAGCACAAAATTAACTTCCAAAGCTGAAAAAAATCAATGGTCCATCTTTTTCACTTTTACATCTGGCTAACAGCACATAAATAAGTCAATCATAATCTTGTAGAATGGCAAGATTGTACAGCAATAGTATGGAAAGTTTAGTACAATTCTAATCAAAATCCAATGATAGTTATGTCAGGTGCTTAGTTGTCAAAAGATTAAATATTCTGTGAGCTAGGTTTGCTGATCCTTTCACGTACCTGTCAGAGTTGTCTTTTACAAGCACTTTAGCATACAAGATATCTACTTCAGATGGATCATCATTCATGCACTCCACACCTTTGAGTTCAACCACTACTGGCTCATTGTGAAGCCACTTGCTACAAATAACAGCAAATTGTTTATCTAACATATTTAGATTCAAAAGTATCTCCAGCTTTAATCTTTAATGTTCAATCTTTGTGCACACATTGTTAAAGTTCATCAGAAATAAAATAAATTCTTTGAGATGCTGGTGAGACTGATCTTAACATTAACAACACAGCTGATATGAACTCTGCCAAAAAATTATTTAACTTGTTGCTTTTTTTTTTCTGTTCTTCACGTTCGTTTACACCTCTACTTAGGATGACAGCCAACAATAGATAACAAGGGGCCACCAACCAGTACAGTTGTAGATGTAGACTACATTTTTTATTGGATATATCAACAAAGTTGAAATGGTAAATTGGCCACCGTAACGATTACAAAAGCTGACGTTTCGAACGTTAGCCCTTTGTCGGAGTGAAACGTCGCTCGAAACGCTCGAAAGGACAGCTTTTGTAATCATTACGGTGGCCAGTTTACCATTTCAACTTTGTTGATATATCCAAATTATTTGGTTACTCCCACCGACGCAGCCCCAAACAGTTTCTTTCGAAACTATCAGCCTTTTATCAACAAGCACCAGAGCCCTAGTTCAAATGAGATACTTGGTAGTTCTGCTGCTTGATAATACCAAGTGTTACTTGAAAGATAACTTGTTTTCTTGTTTTTCAGTTCAATGATAGTAATGAAGATGACAGAAAAGAACTTGAAGGATTTGCCCTCAAAATGATATCACGAGTCAAGGTAGATATCACAATTAAAAAGATAAAGCAAATGAGTTCAAAATGGAATACTTTTTAAAAACCATGGATTAAAAATGTGCATTCAATCTAGCTCAAGAATGGATATTTTTGTCTCAGCGCAACAAAATCCACTTTAAAATTAAACTTATGAACACTGAATGGTGCAGTAGTTTCAATCACAGTTCTGGTTCAATGCACATCTCATTCCATTATCTCTGCGCAATGGTCTCACGGTAAGCAACTATTAAAAAAAACTTAAGACTGTATTTTTCTCTGAGTAGTTAATTAGCCTATGCATAATTTATATACCTTATGGGACTATATTAGGTGTATTTGTTTGTATTTGTTTGTGGTTTAAAGGAATTTATTATAATTAGTCATTTGAATATTTAAACTAATTGCCAAGAATTGTATCTTAATCGTAAGTTTTTTGTGACTGAATTTTTCTTCCTTGGTTTAATTGTATTGTAATTATTTTAGTTAAAGCTTTCTTCTACTCCAGTAAATTCTTCACATCTTTTTTGCTGACCTTAGGCCATTTAAGCCCCTGGCTTTGGCTGTTCTTGTGTATTTTTTCTTTCCAATGTGTGAATAGCAGGAAATAAATAATCAATGGCTTCTAGATAGAAGCATGAAATTGAGGCAAGTGGTCAGCCAGCCCAAAATGGCATGCATTAACCCTGAAATTGCACAGCATCTAGAAAGAAGCAACGTAAATGGTTTGCCTTCTCCTAGTGTCACACACTTATACCAAGCAGAGATGGTACACATTTTCTTCAAAAGAAAACTAAGATATCAGAGGATAGAGGAATTAGCATATTAGCAGTGAGAGAGGATGTTGAATGTAATTTTGATCACAGTCTTTGGCTTACAAATTTAAATTGGTGAAAGATGAGAAATACTATACAGTAGTTATAAAAGGACTCATTTTCTTAAACCTGATAGCTATGGGTCATTGAAGTACCTCTGACTGCTTTGTCTAAATGATAGTAAATAAACTACTGTTTCTTGTCACACTTGTAGAGAAGAGCTGGTATCATAGCCGGGGGGCAAGGAGACCATGTTGATCTAGCTAAATCATGGACAGAATTGGGATTACTGGCTCAATGTACAAACAGACAAGTACAAGAAGGTTAGATCTGATACACTCCAACAGCTGGTCACTCATTCATTAAGCAGGACTGATTCGTATGTTGCTCACATCTCATTACAGAATCTCTAGAATTGCTGATCACCTCTCTTGGTCATGCCCCACCAGCTGCAGATCAGGTTCCTAGGTATGTAATAGGTCTTGTGATTAAAAGGTTCCAGTATTGATTTTTGCTGTAAAAATTTAACTCTGATTATAAATTCATAGTGTGTCTGAAAAACATGAATGTCTACACTGTAGGATAAAGTTGAACCTAGCCTAGTAAATCCCCATAGAATCTAATAAAGAATCAGTGAAATATTATCAATGTTGCTTTCCCATATGTGAAATAATCAGTGCATTTTGTGCCACAAGTTCCAATTAACAAATTCCAATTATATTTAAAGTTAATATTCATCAAAACATTGACCATTTTTTGGTTAATGAGCATCATTCCACAGCTAGAGCACTAAATGGCATTTTAAGTATTCCAGCATTGTGAATTTAAAAAAATCCTGTGGTGTCAATCAAAAATAACTTGCATGTTTGTTCACTTTTCTTTTTTCAGCTTGTTTTATCTTGCAAAAAGTTGTCTTCATTGGTTGAGAAAGTGTGGAATAACTCAGTCATGCTTGAGAACAGCTGAGTTAAAACTCATCAGGGTGTGTATTAAGGTTATATGTCTTGTTCTCCAGGCTGGCTGTAAGCAGATACCTGGCTGCACATTTATTTAACTTTAAGTCCTGTTGTTTCAGATGGGTCATCTGGCTTTTTCAAGATTGTATTATCACAACATGACACAAGATCTCAAGGTACTTTGTCAGTCTTTATTATCAAGACAGTTTGGCCATTTTTAGAAATATCTCTTCAAGGACAGTTTGGACATTTCTGTATTTTGCATTTAATAATATTACTTTTTTCAATTCTTTGGGCCCTGTATATCAGTTAATACCAATACCATAGCTGCATTATTTTATAACTTAAAATTGTTTAGATTAGATGTACAGATTGATTTTATGAGATGTGTGTTTCTCTACAGGAATACCAGGATGAAAAGTGTTCCTTACTCCAATACCTCTCAGGTAGTGGATTCCTTTAAGCCAATTTTGAATAGCGCTCTGTCTCCACTCAAACCAGATCAACATAGCTGTGCTATTGATTAATCAGTTTTATTACACGACTCAGGCAGTCAGAGGGCCAATAACTAAAATCAACCAATCAAAATGCTCTATTGCCGGTCAATATTCTCTCAGTATTGGACCGGGCACTGTCCCGAATGGTCCCGAATGATACCGCACTTGTGTCCCTTTGAACTTCAGTCGTATAATAAATCTCTTATTAACCAAGCTTGCTCGGGACCGTACTGGAAGAATATCGGCCCTCGGTCTTTTTTGTACGGACCTCGCTGCGCTCGGTCCGTACTGTCAAGACCTCGGGCCGATATTCTCCCAGTACGGCCCTCGCGCTTGGTTAATAAGATATAT